CTTCCTCACAGCGCACAAGGGAGCTACAACATCATCGCCATTGTCATCATCATCATCATCCACATCCTTATCATCTATAACATCAAGAACCGTAGTGGATCTTATTTGAATCATTCATTCATGTATGCCATTGCTCTTGCTATGATGTTTGTTGTCTCCATGTATGAGTAAGTTCTCAGGGATATGGATGAACCTTGGTGTGTAGGATCTGATATGTTATTGTGGATATAAGATTCCGTGTTGAATGCTTAGTTCAATAACTTCGTGAATGTTTTGTCGGCCTGGCCATCTGATGCCACTGACCACCTTGGCCGTGACCTGTGGCCGGCCTTGCCTGCCAACACCTCAACCTCCTGCAACAGCCGGCATCATCTCCTTCACACCATGCCCTATATTGCAAAAGTTTTGTTCAACACGACCTCTGTTGCAAAAGGATTCCAGAGAGTGTTCTTCGCAGCGAACAGTTCGACCGACCAAGTCGAGGAAGCAGCGTCGTGGAAATCCAGATGGGTGGGCGTTTGCCTGCGTGTTCAAATCAGATTTACATCCTAGATCACTTGACCCTGAGAGCAATGAGCATTGCCAGAAACAGATGACATCGATCGGTAGCTAGCATGCATTTGGATGAGATGGTTTTCTTTTTCCAGAGTTATTCAGTGGCCTGATGAGCATATCATGGTAAACTAGCTAGATTTCGCCAAAAGAAACTGCTAGCTAGTCACATCGATACACTGATTTTTCATCTATACACACGGTTGGCCATCCACATGACATGACACCCAGTAGCAGATGGATGTTGCAGCTACATCACAGTCGGTACAAGTTTCTCGATCGTCTCCCGGAGCTTCTTTCTGCTTCCGCTTCAACTCCTTGAGTGACGCCTTCTTGTCAAGGCAGCAGCGGTGGCTTGTTGATGTTGATGAAGTTCAGCCCCGTGATGTAGCACTTTCAGTGAACAGTTCATGTTTCAGTAGTGACACAAGTGTGCTGGGCAAAGTGTTGAGCTGGTTTCAGGAAAGCGCCTCTTGTTGCTGCAACTTGGTGAGCCCAGGCAGAGGCAGGGGTTGGTTGGCCATCCACATGGAGGACATCCAGTAGCAGATCGATTTTGCAGCCAGTACATCAGAGTTACAAGCTCCTCATCTATACACATCTATACATATACACTGACTGCCACCACGCTGGCAACGAGTCACGAGCCACCTCACCTCACGAGTATATCAGAGTGACTGGGACTATTCCACAAGGATAACAGGGGACATATAATGCAGAGGCCTGGGTACTCCCCTTTTCAAAAATAAAAAATAAAAAATCAGAGGACATATAAATTATAAATTAAGTAAAAAACATCATTATCTTCTCAAGGATAAATTTGAGAATCTAATAATACAGCAAAACGCATGTTCAATACTGGCATGGTTTCATTCGTAAGCTAGTACCTCTCAACACATTTCAAAAGCCCTTGAAAATTCTGAAGGGTGCAATCTGGGAATCTGGAAATGCAGCAACACATGTTCAGTTGGAAATATATATGATGATTTCAGCAAAATCATGTTCTGACCATATCACCACGCGTTTCTGAATGGATCAAGTAATGTCCGTGAAATCGATGCACACATCGACACGTCAAAAAGCTCTAGAAAGGCGGAGAGTGTTTGTTGCCTTAGGGACAAAAAATTCGACCGAGTTGAGGAAGTCGGAGATGCAGGCTCCGGCTCTGCTGTCACTAGATCTTGGTGGAGACGACGGCACTCACCATGCATGATTTCCAGCAAAGATGCACTTAGCAAGTGAAACTCCCAAATCTCACCCAGTGCCTGAAAACGGAATTTGCCTCCTGGGTGCAGGGGGTGGTGCCAGGGAGAAAGAAGACCACGGCTACAATCTGTTTTGCAGAAGGTTCAAAGAGAAATCTTAAGTCGTCTCCAGACATGCTATTACAAGTTGGCTAATCAGATTTCATTGTATAGCACACGTCAAAAGAATTTTAAAAAGAAAGGGCTGCTCTGCTTTCTTCATTAAGATCCCAGTGGCTGCACATGAAAAATATCATAGTGAAGAAATCTCGACAACAAAGTCATCAATCAAACCAATCGACAGGTAAATAAACACCAAAAAGTTGTAATAAACCCAGTGCAGCACATGATACCACGTAGTAGCTCCGTTACAAAACTGTCTCTCTTCTCAACTCTAAACTCTCTCTCCCTCGCAATAATAAGAAAAGGAAAAAAAAGAATATCTAGGCCTGGGCCTGGGCCTGGGCCTGCGACTGCGCCTGAGATGCGCCACCTAGAGCTGGGAAGTCGGCCGGTGTGAACTCCTTGTCCTGCTTTGGCCTGGGACCCTGCCACTGCCTGTAGTTGCCGCCCTGCTGGTACCGGCCGCCATTGTTGTACCCGCCTTGCTGCCGGCGCTCGCCACCGTCCTGGCCTTCCTGGTTACCACCATTGCCCCGGCCACCGCCATTGTTGTACCCGCCTTGCTGCCTGCGCTCGCCATTGTAGGCATCCTGGCGCTCCTGGCCACGGCCACCATTGTTCCCGCCTTGCTCCTGGTAACCACCATTGCCCCGGCCACCACCATTGTTGTACCCGCCTTGCTGCCGGCGGTTGTCACCATTGTAGCCATCCCTGCGCTCCTGGTAACCGCCATTGCCCCGGCCACCACCATTGTTGTACCCGCCTTGCTCCCGGCGGTCACCATTGCGCTCCTGGTAGTAGCCACCCTGCTGCTGGTCCCGGCGCTCGCCATTGTACCCGTCCTGGCGCTCCTGGTACCTGCCGTTGCCCCTGCCGCCATTGTACCCACCTTGCTGGTAGCTGCCTTGCCGGCGCTCGCCATTGTAGCCCTCACCCCTCCTTGGGGCGCCACTGTCGTTGGCGTTGGCCTCGACGTTGTGGAACACGATGGCGCTCTCGCCGCGGCCAGAGTTGTAGACCCGGCGCTCAGAGCTGTTGTCACGGCTGCTGCGGCCATTGTAAGAACCGTTCCCACGGCCTCCCCTGTAGCCGCCTCCATATGGAGGGCGCCTAGGTGGTGTTGGAGGTACGTACTCTGAACCATCTTCATTCTTCAGGTACTCCTGGATGCTCACCTGCAGCAAACAGCAGAAGTAAGGATCACACTATCACTAACAAGTGCAATACAAATTAAACAGCACTGATGTAGTGATTGTATATTATAAGGAAATGCCCAGATTTCAGAAGATGGTTCAGTAAAGTAAAACATGCCCCTTTCACATCTCAGCATCAAAATGCCTATTATTGGTAGACTTTACCTTGCGAGGTTTAGCTTCCTTTGCAGCAGCCTCCTTTGCCTTGCGAACATTTTCTGCCTTTGATTTAGCATCATCCTCAATCTTCTTCTTCTCCAAGAGCTGGAGACCCTCAAAATCTACAGCAGCAACCCTCCTCTCCTCAGGTTTAGAGGCCTCCAGAGACTTCTTCTTTTCTTGCATCTTCTCATATTCTTCAAGGGTCATCTCCTGCACCAAATTAGGACATAAGTAAAAAGCTTGAAAAACAGAGCAAAGGGTCTGTACGTGAGGCAAGTATAGGAAAGTACAATTTTCTCTTGTTCAATGGGAGCCTCCTGCTCTTTCTTAGCAGTGGTCTCAATAGGAGCATCCCCATTAGAGTCTTCCTTCTTAGGCTTTTGCTTCTTGAGCTTCCTCTTGACAGAGCCACTGACACACTTGCCCTTATTGGTCTTCTCCTTCTTCTCGGCACCATCTCCCTCCTTCTTATCCGCGCCTTCTCCCTCTGCCTTGTTTTCGGCACCCTCTCCCTCTTCCTTCTTAGAATCATCTTTTTGCACATCCCTGCATCAATTTCAAACATCAATAAGGTTAACTTGAAGGCTGGTTACATTTCACAACATGTAAAATAACCAACAGACAGTAAAAGGTACAGGCTCTGTGGAACATACCCAGTAGACTTGTCAGATTCAGAAGCAGGGACGGCTTCAACAACATTCTGAGCAGGGGCTTGGGCCTGCTTTTCCTCAGCAGCAGGCTCCACCTTGCCTTCAGACTTGGTATCAACATCAGAAGCAGCCACAGAGGATGGCTTGCTCTTAGGAACGTAGTGCATGTTGTCCCTCCTGTACTGCCTGTCATCATTGCCGTACCTCTGGCCCTCACCGCCATTGCCGTTGCCGTTGCCGTTGTTGTTGTTGTAGTCACGGTTGCCATTGCCATTGGCATAGTATGGACGGTCGTTGGTGAGGTAGACACGTTGATAGCCATCATTATAGAAACGACCGTTGGCATCCTCAAAGACACGATTGGATCCGGCGCCACGCCCCCTTCCACGGCCTCCTCTGCCACCACCACCACCACCATAGTAGCCTTGGCCTCTGCCCCGGCCTCCACCAAAGTTGCCCTCCCTTTGGTAATGCCCACCCTCTGAAAGATAGCACATCCCAGTGTCAGATAAGATAAACTGAGAAGCGATCGGAGACAAGTTAGAGTTGCAAGTAATTGCGGAGCATATTTACAAGCACATGAGATGGAGCCAACAGGTCAATTATGGCATGTAATCAGATGGTATAAATTAATTGAGCAAGATTTATGCATAGATGAACAAGAATCTGCCTGCCCGATTCTGTCTTGAGAATTTAATTACTAAATAATAATACTGGACAATCTGGAAACGTGAAACAAAGGTCGAATCACTCCCGTCCCGACGAGAAGGGGCCGATCTGCACCCCACCGATGTCTACACAGGAAGGATGATATACACCTTGCCTAACTAGAAATCGAGCCCCTTTGTTCCGCCAAAAGTAGAGCAATCACGAGCCAGACGCGAGGATCTATAAATTAAGATTTAACCGACACAGAGGGAAACAAAGGGTGGATCTATCCCGAATCAAACCCCCCGCGCCACGCTACAATTCAAGAGGCGATCGGGGCCAAGCAACCTACATACAGATGGCGAGGGAGAGCGGGGGCGGGGTCGGGGAGCGCGCGTGCGATACCTTGGGGGTAGTGGTGGTGCTGGTCGTGCTGGGCGTCGTCCTTGGGGGCGGCGGCGTTGGCGGCGGCGTCCTTGGCGGCGGCCTTCCTGGAGGCCTTGGAGGCCTTGTCGGGGTCGTCGGGCGGGACGACCTTCTTGACGACGCGCGCGACGGCCTCGTCCCCCGAGGCGCCGTCGGCCAGGTCGAGCAGGTCGAAGATCCCCATCGCGGCGGCGGCTAGGGTTCTCCGCCTCGTCGAGGCTGATCTGGGTGGCTTTGGGGGCTCGGTGGGTTGGTTGATGGATCGTGGAGGGCCGGTGCGCGGGGGTTATATAGGTGGGCGGCGTGGGCGCGGGGGCGGGCGCCCGCGTCGGGCCCGGCTCGGTTTCCGCGCCCGACTTACCGACCTTGACTCCAACTCCACCTCCACCCCGGGCCCAGGGAGGGAGGCTCCAGTAGCTACTACTACGACTAGTGGCAGTTATGGAAGGAGTCGTAAGCCCCCGATCGACCACACCGATTGCTTGCTTGATTTGATTTGATTTGATTTGATTTGATTTGATTGATGGAAGATGGATCTCCTTTCTTCTCTGCCAAGCCAGGGGCCCGGGTCCGGTTGTGTCACGTCTGTCTTTTTTTTAGGGGAAATATAGGCCCCGGCACAATCTGCCATAAGGTCATTTTGTGTCACGTCTGTCCCAAAGCCACACTAGTAGTAGTAGCTAGTCGTGTGTGTACGTGCAAAAATGCTAGATTTTCAGGTGGGTGGGCCCTTGTTTCCCTTAATCTCCAATTAAAAACTGCCTAATTACCCTGTAAAACTTCCCACCCCATAATTGCATGTAGATGTAGCAAAGCCCGTGTACGTGCGTGCACCTACACACAAGCCGACGCGACCAATGCACCATCATCTTTTTTA